ACTAGTCAAAGCTAAAATCGAGATATCTTGAATTTACTTTATAGATAGTCAATAATTCATTCTAGATATCGTAAATTGAGGTGTCCATACAAGTTAATGGTAAATCTGACGTCATTTCGACTAGTCAGAATGTAATTAGAGATATCTTAAATCGCTAAAACGTCTAGTCATAAAGCAATTAGAGATATTTTGAATGTAAAACGTCTAGTCATAAAGCAATTTGAGATATCTTGAATGTAAAGGCAACCCAACCGAATTAATGTTAAAATGGCTTGCCGTAAACGGAATATCTTCAGAAAAGCTCCAAGTGATTCAAAACTCATATGGGTTAGTAGAACATGACGTAATAACGTAAAATCAAGGGCCCAAGGTAAAAAAATAAAATAATTTCCACTTTAACTTTTCTTAATTTTTACAGTGTCCCTAATCCTCTTCCGTACTTAACAGCTTGTGGAAAAAAAAAAAAAAAAAAAGCTGCCCACGACTGAAAGATTCGTTCATTCCGCGCTGAGCAAAAAGGTTCGGATCTCAGCAGATCGACCGAATTCCCTTTCTTGTCTGACAGTCTCTTCTGCGCATGCGCAGAACACATCTCGGGGTTGGGTTTTTTACCGACGGAATCAAGATGGCGACTCTGGCGAAAGCGCCAATATATCTCCTAAAGTAAATGTCCAAAACTAACCGAATTAGCGGGGTTTTCCCTTGTCAGGTTGGGGTTTGGTAAAACATGGCGGCCGGGGGCATGTCTTCGAAGCGGAACTGAGTGGTAATTTTACCGTAGTGAAGCCACCGAGATGTGCGAGAACTATGCCCGCTCGCTGCTGCGTGTTTCGGTGGCGCAGATCTGCCAGGCTCTGGGCTGGGATGCGGTGCAGCTCACTGCCTGCGATCTGCTGTCCGATGTGCTGCACAGGTACATCCAGCAGCTGGCAAAGGTTTGCCATCGCTACTCTGAGCTGTGTAAGTGCTCTGTTTCATACTCTGGTCACTTTTTTTGCTCCAATAAACCAGAAGTTGTCGATCACGTTGTTGTTGACTTGTTCTTGGACTGGCGCCCCCTAGCGAAGGTTGATGTGTCAAAAGTACAGCAGCTGATTACCTCTTCCTTACATCTGTAGGTTCACTAAACTTAATGCATAGTTATTTCCTGGAAAAACAGGACAAATATCTATTTTTTTAAATAACTTATCTTATTTATTGATTTATTTCTCTTTAAAACTTGTTGATCCCTGGTTACGTCCTAATTGATTTGTATTTTTCTCCAATTTTCCCATCCTGAGCCACAGATGAAGCTTTAACCTGCATGTTTTGATCGTGTGCCTGTAGATGGAAGAACAGACCCGGTTCTGGACGATCTCAGCCAGGCCTTCAGACTGATGGGGGTCAACCTGAATGAACTGGAGGACTACGTCAACAACCTGGAGCCGGTGGCCTTCACCCATCAGACACCCATCTTTCCTGTCAGCAAGAACAACGTCCTGCAGTTTCCCCAGCCTGGAGTAAGAGATGCAGAAGAAAGAAAGGATTATATTCCAGAATATATGCCGCTCCTGGTCTCCTTACAGGAAGGTCAGTGTTCTTGTTGAAAACTGCGCCTGCTTAAAAGATTCTCCTTTCTTGCAGAGTTGTTCTGACTTTGATGTTTTGGGTTATCATTGCACGTTTTACCATCAGACAGATAAACAGAGTGTTTACAAAATATTAAATACTTACCATGATCTATTAAAGGTGCAGTAGGAGATCTTTTATGATGTATTTTTCACCAGGTGGCTTAAAGATCTCCCCACGGCCGCTTAGCGGAAGTG